GCTTTTTCAGACCCACCTTTGGGGCAGAGGACCCTGCGGGCCCAAGAGGCGTGGTCCTGCTTGGGCAGGCTGGCTCACCTGTTATCATTGAATGATTTTGTCTACATTTAGTGTTTATTTACCATTTGAATTATTTCACTGGTCCTAGTTCATTATGATCGAGCCAGTATTGTTCAATTTCAGCCCAGAAGATTAATTTTAAATTGGTGAGCATGTTTATATTTTGGATTTGTTCCGTGTGGTGGTACATATGATTCTGTACTAACTTGGAATCTCCTCAGGATGTTGGATCTTCAGCTCAGAAATAGGGTGGAGTTGCTCCCTTGCAAGGGAGTGAATCCTCTCCTACCTCATTGCTCTCTGTGGTCGTAATGCTCGGCACAGTGGCCTCCTCTTGTCCTGATCACGTTCGGAAGCCCAGCTGCTGGGTTTTCTCATTGATTCTCACTAGTCAGTGTTGATGGAACAAGGAGCTGAGGCTGTTTGAGGACAAAGTGGATCAGGACACCATCCACTGGAACTTTCATCTGGTGTGTGTCTAGTTCATGTCCTCTTTCAGTATAGCCCGCATTTCCCACGTTCTCCATTCAGTTAATTAACATCAGGTGTGTCAGCAGCAGTTCGTAGGAGTTACCTCATGTCTGTCTCAGGGATGCAAAGAAGTCCAGTGGGAGCCTGAGCTTCCTGGGAGGACAGTTTCTCGGCTTGAGGAGAGCCCGGCTGGTGTTTCCTGCACACCCACGAGGAATCAGCATCCGGGGAAGGGCTCCTGCTCTGGGCGGCCATCTGCTCTGCCCACCCCCGCCACTCCATCCGGGTACCGGTCAGGCCTCTCCTGGTGCGGCGTTAGCAACGCCTTACCCCAGAGTGAGAGGCAGGCCAGGTCTCCTGGTCTTGTGTCCTTGTTTCGGTGGGGGAGGAAGAAAGTCCCACGTTGTGACCTGAGTCAGAAAATACTTTGGAAAGTTGCTCTCATTCTTTTTCTCTTTTCAGTTTAGAATTTGAGGGAAGCTTCAGTCTGCAGGCGGTGAGCAGGGCTTGGGGGAGGCCTTCTAGAGAAGTCTCTGCGTTACTTTCGGCGTACTCCTCCTCTTATATCTGCAAGATGACAGGACCTATTTTAGCAAGCCGCTGTGGCGAGGAGCAGGTTTAAGTTGCTAACACAAGTAATAGACGATCTCTGGCACGGTTCATAGGGGTATAGAAAGGAGCCTTAGAGACCACCTTGACCAAGCCCCTTATTTTACAGCTGAACTTGAGGTCAGGGAAAGAAGAGACTTGCTCGGAGCCATAGCTTTTAGTTCCTGAACCAGAACCAGGGCCTCCCACCCTCAGCCCTGGGCTCTGCCTTCATTTCTGCACTGCTGCTGCCTGCAGGCCTGCCCTCATCTGGAGAAAACTGGCCCCTGCTCCTGCACGGTGTGACTAGGCTCCTCTGCGAGGGATGCAGCCCAGTCCTGGTCCATCTGGGGTAGATTGATCGCAGCTTTCATGGCAGCTGTAGGTTTGAGCAGGTGGCAGCCGAAGGATCTCTGCAGCCTCTGCTGCCTCCTGCTGATGAGGCCAAGTGTGTTTTTTAGGCAAGAGAGAAACATGCTGATTTGACCAATGAAGGCAGCAGAGGGGAGATTAATACAGGCTACTTTTAACTCTGTTTTTAAGAATTCTCAAGGGGAGATCTATCCTTGGGCATGAAGCTTGATTTGTTGATTTTTATTTTTTTGCATCATCACAGTTATTCTGCCTAAATGCTTGAAAGATTGCTCATTATTATTGTTTGAGTCTGGATTCTGGGGTGCTTTATTGCTTTAAACTTCACTGGCTGAGAACAGAAATGATATTTTTGAAAATAAAATAAATTCTTAGCTTACAGCTAAAGATTTTTTAAAAAACAGTAGTCCAGAATTAAAAGAAATTATGGAATCAACGTTTTATTGCTGGGATGTACCACAGAAGTTATCAGGTAGAGCCCATTCATATGAGAGATGGGAGAAGTGAGACCCAGAGAAATTTAATAAATGACTTAGCAAAGTTACAGTCATTTGGTCAGTGTCAATATAAGTCTTCTGAGTCTACCGCTTATTTTGAGCTTCTTGTGAGCTAGACCTTGTTATTGTGAGATTTCCATAGATTATTTCTAATTCTTACCGTATTTCGAATAGATATATTTCCCTTCCTTTTATAGATATGAAAATGGAAGCTCAGGCAGCTTAAGTACTTTGCCCAGTGAATGAATGATTGAGCAACAGTTTAGGAGCAGTGTAAATCCCAAGGTCGTGTTTGAACACTGCGCCGTGCAGCCTCTCTTACTGTTTACTTTCCTTTAATGATTTGCATTATCTTAATTAACTTACTTAATTTGTCCCAGTGGTAAAGTCTGTTGTTTGTGTTCATTGTCAGACGTTACAAGCTGTGCGTCTTAAGGAAAGTTAACCCAGTTGAGTACAATAGCCAATATTTTAAAAATCTGGAACCTTAAATTCTTGCTGAGAACACTTTGCTGGTCTCAAGTGCCTCATTGTCCTTGGGAACTCATATTAACACATTTGGATGCTGAATCATATTAACTCTTGCCTGTGTAGCCTCTTAGGTTAGTAAAACAACCTAAGAACTGTGAAAGAGGTAAGGTGGGAAGATAAGGGTGACTTGTGCATGAGATGGTGTTGAAAAGATCTTTTAGGAAAGATGCTTGATGTTTACTTTGAGTTAATGTTTGATCATTGAAATGAAATTTCATTGGAATAATTTAATTTTAAACTGTTCGGAGTTTCTCGAAAATCTTGTTTCTTTGACTTCTATAGGCTGGAAATCATCAGTGTGCCTGTCTTGATTTCTTGTACTTTTCAGACTCTCCCTTCTTATTCAGATATAAAAATTCAATGTATTATTTCAGTTTGCACAAAGAAAACGCATGAATGTCAGTGTATAACATACAGGCAATTGGATTGTGTTCCCTTCAAGATTATAATCTTATTCTTTACAGAAATATGTAATGATATCTTTTTTACTATTGGTCCTTTGATATTTTAAACATGATTTAAACATTCTAATTGCATAATTTAAACATATTAATAACATTAAATATTCTAAGGTAAAAAGTGAAAAATATTTCCTTCTCTTATTATATATCTGTCTGTTTTACTGGTATCTACTAGAAACTCATCAGCATGTTAAATTTGTGTTTGCTGTGCCCATGGTTCAGCTTGGTTTCTTTTTGGCCAATTCCTTCCCTCCCCTGGCATGAGACAGTAAGCTCTATGAGGACATGAGGACTGTACAAGCCGCTTGAAGACAGGGAACTTTGTTTTTGCTGTATGTCAAACACCTAGAATCAACTGATGCTTGGTTAGTGAAGTCATGTAAAAATACTTCCTAGGAAAAGTTATTTTAGATGAGTGTAGGAATTTTCATCCTGTGTAAGAGACAGGTCTTCCTGTTTTCATTTTCTTTCTGAAACCTCTGTCCCCTCACTTCCCAAAGCTGTGTCGTTTGCTAAGGTTGTTTAGCCAGATACTCTAGGTAGATAGGAGCATCGGGTTTTTATTGAGAACTTTTCAGAGTTGGATGATATTATATATCTTGTCTTTTTCCCACTTCCTTGTCTATTGTGGACAAGACCCCTAAATGCCTTAAAATGTTTAAGTGATGATATTTGTTAGATGCTAATATTTATTGAGCATGTGGAATTTCTAATGTATAGGAACATGATCTCTCTTTTTCAAATAATTTTTGTTTATGGAAAGAATTGAAAGAATTTCTCTCTAATGGAAGTAATTCCAGAAAAAAATGACCTGTTATTTAGATTACTGGCACTCTGTATGTTTTGTGGTTTTTTTTTTTAAATATATATGATCAATATTTTGGTTCAACGTTTTTTTTTTTAGTTCAGTGCTACAGTAGTGTCTGGATACCATGGCTGTTTAATCCTCCTTTCCTGCAATGTTAAAAATACATGCACATCATTAGCCATCATGGAAATGCGGATCAATGACATACACACTTTATACCCACTAGGGTGACTAAAATAAAAAAGACAGATAAAAACAAGTGTTGGCCATGATGAAGATACACACTTTATATACCCACTAGGGTGACTAAAATAAAAAAGACAGATAACAACAAGCGTTGGCCATGATGAAGAAATTGGAACCTTCAGATGTTGCTAGTGGGAATGTAAAATGGTACAACCACTGTATAAAAATAGTTTGGCAGTTCATCAAAAAGCTAAACATAAACCTTATATCCTTATGACCCAACAATTGCACTCCTAGGTATATACCCAAGAAAAATAAAAACATATGTCCACACAAAAACTTGTACATGAATGTTCATGGCAATGTTATTTATAATAGCCCCAAAGTGGAAAAAACCCAAATGTTCATCAAGTGAATGGCTAAACAGAATGTGGTATATCCAATGGAACATTATTTGGCAGCTAAAAGAAATGAAGTATTGATACATGCTGCACATGGATGAACCTTGAAAACATTATGCCAGTTACTAAAGACCACTTGGTATGATTCCATTTATATAAAATGTCCAGAATCGGCAAATCTATAGAGAAGGTTAGATTAGTGGTTGTTTAGGGCTGGAGGAGTTTGGAAGAGATGGGGAGTGACTGCTAATGTTTCTTTTTTGAGTGATGAAAATGTTCTAAATTAGATAGTAGTGATAGTTGCACATCTAAATACCATTGGGTTATACACTTAAAAGAGTGAATTGTATGGTATGTAAATTACATCTCAATAAAGTTATTAAAAAAGTGTATAGAGAGATGCATTTGCTTCCATGAACATAAATTATCTCCAGAATGACATACATCAGTTGCTTGTGGGAAAGAGCTGTGTTCCCATGGGGGCCAGGGCAGGAGGTAGATTTTTACTAAATACTCTTTTGTGTCTGTTGAATGTTGTGCCTTGTGATAATATTACTTATTTTCTGAATGTTGAATAATAAAGTTATTAATAACTCATTTCTTCTCTTGATTTTACTGTGACCAGGTCCTTCAGGGGTTAGATTATCTGCACAGTAAGTGCAAGATCATTCATACTGACATAAAGCCGGAAAACATCTTGATGTGTGTGGATGACGCATATGTGAGAAGAATGGCAGCAGAGGCCACTGAGTGGCAGAAAGCTGGTGCTCCTCCTCCTTCGGGGTCTGCAGGTGAGGAGCTGAGCCAGCTTTGTTTCAGTCTGTTTGGGGACATTGAGAGCCTGCAGAGTTGCACATTGAAGGCAGTTGAATCAAGCACGTACATATTAGGAACTTTTGTAAGAGCCTGATTGCTAGAAATAACTAGATTTTTTTCTTGAGACGGACGATGCCCCAGTTAAATTATACCTTAATATTTGAATTACTTACCTTTGTCCTCCCTTAAAAGGTCATTTAATTCTTACCTGCTGCTTCGTCTACATTTGAACATTTTATTGTGTTGCCCATTTGTCTGCAGAGAAGCATGTAGTAACTAACAGGTTTCATGTAGCTGACTTGTAGTCATCAGAATCTTTTTCTAGCTTCAGGCTTATTGGAATGCTTCCTAGTCTCCAGTTAACATAGCTACATCAATTTGAATTTAACTGGTAGATTTGGAATCAGTTACAAAAGACCCAAGGGTGAGAGAAGAAGCCCAAGGGACTTGAGTATTGGCATCGTGTATAGTTTTATTTCTGGTTTTCACAGAATGTAATGGTGCAGTGAAGTGTTGACTGTGCTCTCACCCTCTTTCTGTGTAATGGTGCCCTCATGTGCCCAGGCATGTGGACTGAAGGGCTAATGCCCTGTGGCTGACGGGCTCTTGGGAGATGCTCCACCTCCAGATCTTGTTTTCTACCTTCAGGGTTTTGTTGTTGTTGTTTTTTGGTTTTTTTTTTTCATATCATGGAACTATAGTCCGTCAAGCTTTTGTCTCTGGCAGGTTCTGGTCATTTGATTTCTAGAATATTGGCTGCAGTATTTGATTTACTTTAGTTGTATAAACCTGCTAAATAGTTTTCAAATGTAGATATACATGTTCTAATCTGAATTGTTCATTTCATTGTCTATAAAACAAATTTGGTTCGATGACTATTTGGCATTTGTGAACTCCTCTTCATTTTCTTATCAGTCAGTGCTTTGGGATTGACTGTTTTTGAAGTGAATGGATAATTTTAGATAAATAAGAGCAATGGCTCCATATTGAACAACTACTGCTGTGCCTTTTAAGAGCCAATCATTTGAGTTGGATAAACTTTATTTATTTTATTTTTTTAAACTACTTTACTATTTTTTTAAAAATTTTATTTATTTTTTCCCCCAGAGCCCCAGTAGATAGTTGTATGTCATAGCTGCACATCCTTCTAGTTGCTGTATGTGGGACGCAGCCTCAGCATGGCCAGAGAAGCGGTGTGTCGGTGCGCACCCGGGATCAAACCCGGGCCGCCAGCGGAGCGCGCGCGCTTAACCGCTAAGCTGCGGCGCTGGCCCTGGATAAACTTTCTTTAGATCTCTGTGATTAAGAAGCTCTGATATTTAATAGTTGTTGAAGTTGGATAGCCATTAAAAGGCAATAATTATTTCATTTTACAGTTCAGATTACCTACATAAAGATATGTATCAGTTTTCCTCTAAACGGTCATTTTGTTTCATTTTGTTTTAGTGAGTACCGCTCCACAGCAAAAACCTGTAAGTACTTACACATATACTTCACCTTCATTGTCAAAAGTGGCCGTTCATTATTGAGCTTTTCAAATTGTAACATCAGTCTCTTTCTGCAACAGTTTGTCCTTTAAGGGTTTTTGGGGGGAATTGGTTGTACATTTTTTCATTTTTTTCCTCAGTCACAGACATTCTAATGCATGTTAATGTAAAAGACAAAAGACAGGCGTGTTGATAAATGCTGTGTCCTTGACTATATAAGACTTAACTGTTTTGGTAAGTTGAAGTGGTTTTTAGAGGTGGAATAGTTAGAGCCGTTCCACATTCGATCTCCATTTTCCTCGTGTACTTTCTGGAGTGCTGTTGGCCAAGCCTGGTGAAGTATGACGTGATAGAGAGTTTGAGCTGTGATTATTCCAAAAACACTTTACGTTATTCCTCATTGGTTTCCAATATACCTGTTTTTCTAAAGCTGTTGTTCTAATTTTTTCCTAGCCAGTAGTTAAATATGAAAGAATATTATCTATTTTGTGGTCCTGTCAAAACACTAAGTCCAGTCCAATGAAACAAGCTGGAATTAATTCCTTCCCCAGCAGACTTCAACCTGGCTTGTCTCCAGTAGAGGATAGATAGTTGATGGGTCACCTGCAAATTTTGAAATAGCTTTGTGAACTGAAAGCATTTGAAAAGAAATGTCCAGAAATTCCGAGTGCTGCCACCAGCCCTCAGTTTGGAATGGAAGTCCCCATACAAGAGGGTGTTGTGGTAATGACGTCACCCAGTCATTTCCCATAGTTCTGCGTGGCTGGAGCAGTTTGTTTTGATTATCGATTCTGTGAAAGACTGGAGGCTGTCATTGCCAGGACTTTCCAAGTCAGATGGCCAAGATTGGAGGCAGACTGAAACCGTGGCTTTTTCTTTTTTTCCTTTACTTCGTATGCTCATTTTTTACAGTTCATGCAGTCTTGGCTGTTGATAACAGCTCAGTGTGTGAGACCCAGACAGAGCTGTTAACCAACAAGGAAGGAAATACACCTGTTTTGGCAGCCATTTCTTTTTTGGCAGACAGTTGGGTAAGACAGTAAGGAGAGGGGACGTTGTTACCTTGTATACAGGCAGGAGCAAATAAGACTTGCTTGAGATGCTTCTTGTTTAAAGGCAAGAGTATCTCAGCCTATTTAGCTCTTTTTAGAGTTTAAATGAAAAAGACTCATTGGTTTTAAGCTATATCCCTCTGAGGGCAAGACCTAGTAGTAATCCTATTACTTGACTTTAGCATGGTTTCTTTTTGCTGGTTTTACTGTAGCCATAACTGTGAGGTAGATCTCACATCTGGGCATGTGATTTTAATTGAATATGACCTGAAAAAACAGAATTTGTTGGTATTTGCCATGCTGCCAGCACTGATACTATTGTGTAGTGCTTTAAAAAGAAGCAAACTGACCGGTGGTATTTTCTTAACATGTTGTAGATAGGAAAAATATCTAAAAACAAAAAGAAAAAACTGAAGAAGAAACAGAAAAGGCAGGCTGAGTTACTGGAAAAGCGCCTGCAGGAAATAGAAGAATTGGAGCGAGAAGCCGAAAGGAAAATAATAGAAGAAAACGTCACATCAGCTGTACCTTCCAATGAGCAAGATGATGAATACCGCCCAGAGGTGAAACTAAAAACAGCAGAGTTAGAGGAGGCAGCGGAGGGAGAGACTGCAAATGACAATGGTCAGTGAAGCCTGGAGGCAGGGCTGCCTTAGGGGTCCCGGAGCTTCCTTGTAGGTTCCCGCCAAGTCATCACAGAGGGTGACTTTGTGCTGCTGCTTCAGATATGAGGATGCTTCTCTCCAACTCCCTTTTCGGGAATATGGGGAACAGTCTGTTAGTTCATTTGTAACATGTATGCCAGAAATATGTTAATATTTCAAAATAGTTTTTTAAAAAGTGGAAAATGTTTGAGAAACACCATGTTTCTGTCATGCTAATAGTTGTCCTTTATTTTGTAATTTTACCTAACAGTAATGTACCCACAAATCTTTTCTGAAGATTGTAGAGCAGAGGGTAGAAATGGAAGTGCAACTCATAAATACAGTAGTTCCCCTTTATCCGCAGTTTCACTTTCTCCAGTTTCAGTTACCCACGGTTAACCATGGTCTGAAAATATTAAATGGAAAATTCCAGAAATAAACAATTCGTAAGTTTAAATTGTGGGCCATTTTGAGTAACACGAATGAAATCTCATGCCATCCTGCCCAGGACATGAATCATCCCTTTGTCCAGTGTGTCCACACTGTATACACTACCCGCCCATTAGTTACTTGATAGCCACCTTGGTTATCAGATCAACTGTCTTGGTATGGCAGCGCTTGTGTTCAGGTAACCCTTATTTTACTTAATAGTGGCTCCAAGCACAAGAGTAGTGATGCTGGCAATTCAAATATGCCAAAGAGAAGCTGTCAAGTGCTTTCTTTAAGTGAAAAGGTGAAAATTCTTGACTTAAGAAAAAAATCATATGCTGAGGTTGCTAAGATCTATGGTAACTTTTATTACAGTGTTTTGTTACAATTGTTCTATTTTAGTATTAGTTATTGTTATTACTCTTACTGTGCCTAATTTTTAAATTCAACTTTATCAAAGGTATGTATGTATAGGAAAAGACATAGTATATATAGAGTTCAGTACTCTCTGCTGTTTCAGGCATCCACTGGGGGTCTTGGAACGTATCTCCCACGGATAAGGGGGGACTGCTGTAGTCATTTTCCCCCAAAAGCTTTCTAGAGTAACGTTCTGGTAAGAGTAGGCCAATTATTTAATAAATGAAGGATAAGATTTAGAAAACCTGAAGATTTTACCCAAGAGCCAAATGGTGTTTGCTGTGTAGTACATGAATTAAGCACGTTCAAAAATGTCTCTTGTTGGAGGCAAATAAGTGCCTAGTGCCACCGTGTGAAGGAGAGTAACAGGGTCTGATTCTTAACCCGTCAACTTTTTAAGGTGAAGCTGAGGACCAGGAAGAGAAAGAAGACGCCGAGAAAGAGAACGTTGAGAAAGATGAAGATGATGTTGAACAGGAACTTGCGAACATAGACCCTACATGGATAGAATCACCGAAAACCAATGGCCATATTGAGAATGGCCCATTCTTACTGGAACAGCAGCTGGATGACGAAGACGATGATGAAGAAGATTGCCCAAATCCTGAGGAATATAACCTTGATGAGCCAAATGCAGAAAGTGATTATACATATAGCAGCTCCTATGAACAATTCAATGGTGAATTGCCAAATGGACGGCATAAAATGCCAGAGTCACAGTTTCCAGAGTTTTCTGCATCATTGTTCTCTGGGTCTTTAGAACCTGTGGCTTGTGGCTCTGCACTTTCCGAGGAATCCCCGCTGACCGAGCATGAGGAAAGCAGTCCATCCCATGACAGAAGCAGGACGGTTTCGGCCTCCAGCACTGGGGATTTGCCAAAAAGTAAGTGTCCCTCTCCATCAAATGTCTGCTTTCAGTGGCCCACGTGTCACACCCTTGATACATGCTGTGAAGGGAATTGACTGGAGGTAGTAAAGCCAGGCATACATGCATTAACAATTTTTATTTGGTTACTTTTGTACTCGTGAATAAGTAATATAATTTAAAATATATTCTGTGTGACTAGGCTTTCTCTTGCTCTCTGCATATCTGATCCCATTGCTGAGTTTTTCTCATTCTTTCTGTATTTGGTTAGTGACATCATACATTGGCAGAAACCTTCCAAGTCTAGCAACTTACTCCTGTAGCTTTCTAGAATATATATATAGTTTACTTTATAATTTGTACTTCCATCTGATAGTGTTATATTTAGTTTTTGGTTTTTGTTTTTGTTTCGTTTCTATTCAAGGAAAATTGTGCCTGCTCTTTATCCTATTTTGATAGTTGTTCCTGATTATAGGACTCTGCTGTTGAGATTTTAAAGGAAGTGGCGTGGATTTAAATGTGGTGATGACTTACATCAAACCCTTATTTTGAGAGCGAATGCCACATGGCATATCTCTGCCTGTGACACGCTCAGGGGCTTGAGTAAGCAAACACTGGGCATCACAGTTGGTTTCCATTCTGGCCCATAGTGCAAAAGCTTAGAAACCTCCTCTGCTCCCTCTACTGACAAGATGGTTTAACACATGGCCAATCAGTTGAGCCAGCCCTGCGAATAGCCTAAGAAACTCTGCAGCCCCTTTCATTCCAGCAGGTGGGAGACCTACAGGGCTGTCTTTGTTACTTATTGGCTATAACTAATCATCCTAAAGATGTGGTTTTTCCGCTTGGTAGATGTATTCCTCTCCTGTTTACCTTTACCCTGACCAGGGTCTGTTGGAAGGTGCTTATGAAATGCTTTCACATGGAATGTAGGCTCACCTAAGGAAACCTCACCTCTCTGGGTCTCCTTTACTTTCACACTACTGCCATGCTACTGGGACACTTTTGGTCACCATATGTGTGCATAGGGGGTTTCCCCACACCAGACAATTCTCTGACACCATTTAACTCAATTCTGATACTACCTGGAGATAGCGTCAGATCCCCCAGGTTAACGTTAAGATCCCCCACAAGACTGTCCCCCTTCTTGTAGGCCACCAGCTGTATTTCTGACTGATCAGCTATAAATTAGAGGTTCCCATGATCCCCTTCTCAAGTTCTATTAATTTGTTAGAGCAGCTCACAGAACTCAGGAAAGCAGTTTACTTGCTAGATTACTGGTTTATTGTAAAAGGATATAACCCAGGAGCAGCCAGATGGAGGAGATGCCTAGGGCCCAGTATGCGGAGGGGCGAGGCTTTCATGCTCTTTCTGGGCTTGCCACCCTCCCTGCAGTCTCTCACACGTTCCTTCATGTCATGGGCTCATGGATTCTTTTTTCTTTTAATTAACACATTGCATTATGTGTGATAATCATGTACAGCTTTTTTTTCCTTTGATATCAGAATTATCCCAAATCTGGTCCGTGTGGGCCTCTTTGGGTTGGCTCTTTTGTCCTTTTGACACAATCCCGTTCTTCTTCAGGTGCTTCCCTGCTTTCTAGAACCATGTGTCCCAGGGTGGCGCAGGCCATGTCTCCAAGTAGTTTTTGTTATTAATATTATTTTTTAAATGTTTTATAATGTACATAATATATAGGAACAGTAGTATGTGAAATTTATAAATATGCATATATTGGGGTGAGTTTCAAACATTTTTACTGATGGAGTAAGCCATGGAAAAGCTTAGCAGTTCCAAATGCAGCTCTTCCAGGTTATTTTCGAGACGTGCTCAAGGGCGTCGGTGTGAACGTGGCGTGGTCACTTGTGCTTCTGTGCCTTCGCTTGTGCTTTTCCTCCTGCTTGGGGTGTTTCCTCCTATTTACCCATTGTCCATCCTTTTTGGCAAACTTCTCTTCTTTTGTCAGGTAGCAGCTCAAATGCGAGTCCCCCTCTGTCCCCAGCAGGTCTCAGTGCTCTTTCCCCCCTTTTCCTACTGGTCATCTTTTCCTTAACTGTATGCTCATTGTCCGTTTCCGTTGTCTGTCTTCTCCCTGGGCTGTCAACCCTTTGAGAGTGCAGTGTGTATTTATCTTTGTGTCCTCAGCATCTGACTCAGGGTGAGACAGACGTTTATTGGATAATGAGCAAACAAATCAGTAATCTCTGTGTCTAGTCCTCTGCCCTGCCCTTTCTCCTTCCTTTTTCCATTCACAGTCGCGTTCTGTCCAGCACACGTTCCATCCCTAGCACCCTGTGTGTTGCATGAATATTGCATCGGGAAGAAACGGGAGGTCTGTTTCTCTCATTGCTCCCAGTCTCTTGCCAAGCAGGCCTTTACACTGTTGTTAATTCTAGGGACGCACCAGGGACAGGGTCTCCTCAGTCGTTTGTCTGGAGACACTCAGTTTTGGTTTCCAGCTTGGTCGTTTAGGAACCGTGGGCAGCCTCCTGCAGGAGCTGTTTTGTTTCCTGCCTGGAGGGGCTGTGGCCTAGAGGCAGGTGGTTGGCCACCTGGTGCTGCATGAACATGAGGCAAGAGAAGCAAGCTCTGTTCAGAGTTTGTGCGGATCCATCGTTAACAGCAGCGTGTATACGTTAGGCCATAGTAGAAGAAAAGGTCGGCCAGAGTGAGAAGATTGAAGAACTCACGTGCCAGGCTGAAGATGGTGAACTTTCCCTGAGTGATTTGGTAGCCGTTGAAGCCTAAGACAAGGAGGCAGGGTGCCTCTGGGTTATTAGCTGCTAGAGCCGTAGCGTGTGTCCTGGCTCATCACATCTGAAGGGCGAACCCTGCGGCAGGGTGTCTTGTTGGCTGTACCTGCAAGGCATATCGTGGGTCCTTCCACTGTCACCTGGTGGTGACCCGAGTCACTGTCAGTCCTTGCCTGGGCTGCTGTAGTGCAGGCTCCATTCTCCTCTCACCTCCACCCTTGCTCCCTAGTCTCTTCTCTGTAGAGCAGTCCAGAGAGCCGTATTTATTTTGTGTGAGGAAGATTAGCCCTGAGCTAACATCCGTGCTCCTCTTCCTCTACTTTATATGGGACGCCGCCACAGCGTGGCTTGACAAGCGGAACGTCGGTGTGCGCTCGGATCCGAACCCACAAACCCCGGGCCGCTGAAGCGGAGCGCACGCGCTTAACCGCTGCACCACTGGGCCGGCCCCCAGAGAGCTTTTTAAAGCTTGTCCCATCACTCCCCACCCCCCAGTGATCGCCAGTGTATTTGCATGTAGAAGCCACACTCTCTAAAGCCCTCAGGCTCCGCACAGTCCGTGCCCTGGCAGCTCTCTCCCTGGTCTCATCTCCCCTGTCTCTGTCCCCCTGCTCCTTCTTCACCCGCCAGGCTGGCTTCTTCTAAGGTTTCTCCAAAGAGCGAGCTTATTTCTGCCTCTTTGCACTTTGCGCTTGCCGTCTCTTCGGCCTAGAGCTTCTCCCGTCCACGCCTCCCTTCACTCAGGCCTCGCCTCAGACGGCGCCTTCTCCCTGAACACCCTCAGCATTACCCATCTCCTTTCTTTGCTTTGTTTTCTTCATAGCATATAGAGCTATGTGATGTGGTGTCTGAATCATTCATTTTATGTACTTTGTTGCCCATGTTACCAACAGGTACATGAGTTTCCTAATTTGGGGTGTGGTTGTGGGAACCCCATCTGTCCTGTTCATGCCGTTCCAGTGCCGAGATGCCGTCTGGCGCGTAGAAGGGACTCAGTAAATACTTGGTGAACGAATGGGTCGGGTTTGGGCATCAAATAACCTGGTTCTGCTGCTTCCCTGGGCCTGGTACTAAGCCTCCTGCATGTAGAGAGGGTCTTCATCCCTCCTTGTAAGGATGTTTTCAGCTCTGAAGAGTCATTGTGGGCCCAGCCCAGTGCCTTGCAGATAAGTGATGACGGCTGTGTCATTGCTGGAGGCCTTGCTGGCTACCGTCTTACTAGTTTCTAGGATAGCTTCACAGGGAATGAGTACAGCGTCACCCAGAGACTGGGTTATCAGAAATGATTTAAGGGACCAGCCCTTCCTGAACTGAAATCTTCCCACCTCTTTCTTGCCCGATTTTCATTCCCTCCTTGGTAGAAGCAGAGAGCAAGGAAGAGCTGTGGTAGGTCGGCACGATAATGACTCTGCGTCAGAGGAGGTGATCTGATGCCTGGGCGCAGCAAGTCTGAGTGTCCTGTGTTTAAATGGGCTTTTTCGAGTGTTGCAGGCAGGTGCGCTAGCACGGATAACTATCACACTGAGAAATGCAAGCAGATTCTCTTTTACGTCCTTTGTGTTCTTATACAATTAAATTGTTGAGATAAATTCCCAAGTATTGTTTGGAATGCGTTGTGAGCTGGGTGACTATTTACAAACCTGGAGGATAACAGCATGTCACCAAAGAGACTTTGTTTATTGATTATTAAATACAAAGAAACTGTATTGAAGATATGTGGTGATGTGTCTCTTAAAGTGTATTTCCTCTAGCCTAATTGAATTATGAAATGTCTTTAAAACAGCAACTGGGAATAGGTGAGAGGATTCCCCTCCTTCCACTTGAGTGCCCTCAGATGTCAGAACCTGGAGCTTCATCCTCTTCTCCGTCAGGCCTTTGGTCTGAGTTGTCTGGAGCGTGGAACCCATCCTTTGGCTTCCCCTCCTCTCTCTGCCAGTGGGCTTTGGCCCTCTCTATGGGCAGTTAGAAGCCTCAGCCTCAGAGGGTGGTCTGGCTGGTCGCAGGCAGAGTGGAGCCCCTGCATCTGGCTAGCGAGACGCTGCCGTAGCTTTCCTGTGTTTGGTCTTTTGGGGCATGGGGGGTGGTCCCTTCCTCTTCTTCCTTTCCTGAGAACTGAGCCTTAAAGAGTTAAGTCATTTGCCTGAGTCTTAAAACTTGTGAGTGTTTAAACTTAGATTTGGATCCAGTTCTGCAAACCACAAATTCCATTTTCAAGCCTGCTGACTCTGATTAAATGACGAGGGGTTCATCTAGCCTTTTCTAGTGCTGCCCATCTATCCGTTGGGTCGGCACTTTATGTTTCTCCTGGAACTCTGTTCTCAGCCCATTCCCCATTCAGTGTATCCATTTTGCCTCTTCATATGGGTCTCTGTGCTTTCTTCTCATCATTTCTGAGTCCCTGTGTTCCTTCTCCTCAGCTCATACCTAGCCTTTGGTGAGGCCCCCGGTGGATCAGCATCTTTATGAAGAGAGAGGTGGGCTTAGGGCTGGTAGCAAGAAGGGAATGCATGAGCCTGGCTGTGTGGGTTCATCCCCAAGCCCGACAAATAGGCCTTGAGGGAAAACGTTGGCCAGAGTTCTCTCCCCGTCCTCCGGCCCCTCCTGGGGAGTCTGTGGGTGCCCTAGATCCTGGGCACCTTCCTAGTCCCCACCTTACTGGTGGGAACATGGCCTGGCCCTGCTGCCTGTGGGGGGTGCTGGGGATCGGAGCCTCCCTGAGCACCGTGGCTTTGCAGCACAGTGTGCCCAAGAGGAGGTATGGTTCAAGTTAGCAGAACCCAGCTTTGAGTGAACAAAAGGGTGTTTACTGTTCAGCATTGAGCAGGCTTTTCGGTTTAGCCTGTAAATACCATTTCAGAATTACTTCTAAAATAAATAAAAGCCGTGGTTACATCTAATTTTTTCCAGAAATCTGAGCTTGTAGGTCAGTTTGAGGTTTGATGAAGATGCTGACCCACTTCTGGATTGTCTTTCTGGGCCTCACAAAGTTATTTTTCTTTGTCACTTGCCCCCTGGTTAACTGTGCTTGATACAGGCATGGTCTGGACGTGTCTGAGCAGCTCTTCTGGCCCCAGAAGCCCTGAGAAGCCTGGCCCTGTGCCTACTGTTGAGATTGTCTGAGGGTCGCCTGGGGTTGAGAGTGGCCCAAGTATTTGACAAGTTTGTGAGGGGCCTCAGAGGTTTGCCCTTATGACCCAGGCCATCTCAGGAGACTTCTGTTCTGAAGGGTTCCTTCTCCAAAGCTAAGCCAGAATTGATTAGTCCTGGCCTTTAATCTGTATTTGTTAGTCAACCTTCATCTAACTTGTGAGGTCTCTGTGCTCAGCCCAAGCAGAGGGAGAGGTAAGGGGTGTGGGTACCAGGAGAACTGTGTGTCACCTAGGAAGGGATTGGCCACCCAGGGCAGCGTTTCCTCTACCTTCATGTTCCACGTAATAATGCAGCAACGAGCTAGATGTGGTCCGTTAGGGAATGGGCTCTGATATAATGAAGAGCAGCTAGAAAGATGCAGAAGGGAGCAGAGTAGGGCTGACCTAGAGGCAACGGAATCAGGAATAAAAGGAGAAGGAGCAAGGCAGTGTCCTTGGGGTCTCAGGACAGCCCAGTTTGCTCTCTTCTGTGAAATATTTTGCAGAGATGGAGACCAAGAATTTTAAATTCTGTTGAGTTCAACTTACAGGATTCTAGGCCTAAATGATCACCCCATCACTCTTCTAGAGAAGGAGACTCTGTGCCTGCAAACTTGTGTGTACACATGCAGGCCACTTCCCCCGGTACTAACTGTCTTGCTGTTTGCCCACACCAGCCAAAACCCGGGCGGCCGACCTGCTGGTGAATCCCCTGGATCCAAGGAACGCAGATAAAATTAGAGTAAAAATTGCCGACCTAGGAAATGCTTGTTGGGTGGTAAGTGGAGCTTTCTTTCTATCACGTTTTGGTCATGATCATGTATGAGAAGACCTTCTTTTCTGGTGTCGGTGTTCCTCCGTAGTGATGCAGTCTGTTCTCTTACAGCATAAACACTTCACGGAGGACATCCAGACGCGTCAGTACAGGTCCATAGAGGTTTTGATAGGAGCGGGCTACAGCACCCCTGCTGACATCTGGAGCACGGCGTGCATGGTAAGCACGGCCTTCGCCCCTTTCATCTGCGTAAAGCTCATCCCGTTAAGCCTCATGATAGGGCCGTCTCCCCGGTGCATGTGGCCGCAGTTTCTCTGACTGTGGAGGTTGTCCACTGTGGGATGGCTGATGGGGAGGTTGTGCCTTGGGCATCTGAAGAATTGGAGGAATTCTTCTCAGGCGTGTTCTGGGCTTTGGTTTGGTCTTGTGAGAGGTGATCTCTTCTGAAAGCCCTCTGCAGCCCACAGCCCCGAGAATCAGACCCTCAGCTGTGCGGACAGAATGACTTCAGGTGACTCCTTTTGGTGACTGAAACCTGGCAGGTTGTACGCAACTTTACCCTTCACTCAGGCATTGGGGAAGGTTATCTGAGGCTGAAAGGTTGGAGCCCTTTGTGGTGTCTCTGACAGACCTTATCTGCTTACTGGAGAGGTAGGGCTTTCCCATCTACCAGTGTTTAATCTCTCTTCTTTATGAAGCAAAGTCTAGAGAATATTCTGCCTTACTGCTCAGTGCTGTCGCGTCACTTCTGAGACACCACAGCTGCATGTGTCCGTTTGACTGAGTCTGTTCCTGTAGAGAACACGGTGGTGGTTTTCCTCAGGGCCTCAGGATGCCTCCTCTTTCACCCACGTGTCATATCCGATTTTGCTGCCAATTTTCTGCATCACCAGTTTAAACTCTCCGCCTGGCCCCCACCAGTGCATCTTTCTCTCCCTTACTCCTTATCTGTGAATTGAAGAACATGAATCGTCCCTCACTCAGAAGCCGATTTCCGTTTCTCTTTCCTGGCCCTATTTCCTGGCCAGTTCAGTACCTTCCTCTTAATGGCTGTACTTTGTGGTCCCATTTTGGAAAAGGGGAGATGTGTGTATGTTGCTTAGGGTGGTATTTCTTATTTCTTATTTTTGCTTTTCTTCTTTTTTTTCCCCCCAAATTCTCCTCTGATATTTAAATGAAAGGTCATATGTTCTAAAGCTTGGCACTTGTCTTCTCAAAGTGCTGCAGAACAAATATGATTGTTATTCCAGGATTAATGTGACAGTCTTTTGAGTGTGCTGTGTTGTGTGTCTTCTGATGCTAAAGTAAAGGCACTGTTAACAGATAGTGCTAAAATGATGTGAAAAAATGGAGATGTTTTGTGCCTTTCAGGTTAGCACAATCTGGGGCAACAGTTATGGCCAAATACATATGAAACACTGTGGCTTTCTATTCCCACATTGCTCTGATGGATAGTGCCAGATAATTCTAAAAATTAAGTTTTTTAGGAAGTATCAAAACTAAGCCCTTGCCATGCTGGGTATGGAAAAGAATAGTTAAAAGAATTGGTGGGCATGTGATGGTTCCTTTGAGTTTCGAGACTGCTGTGTGGAGAGGAATTAGACTCACTCGCTGTGACCCAGTGGGCGGGGTGGGTAGAGGGCTGGCAGCAGTGGGAGGCAGAGGTGAAGTCGGTAGGAAGGGAGCACTTTCAGCAGTCAGAGCTGCAGGGGAGAACGTTCCGGTTCAGGATGTGAGGTCAAGCCTTACTGTCCCCAGCAACACGGAAGGGGCCGTGTCAGGGCTGCCCTGAATTAGACTCTGAGAACTCTTTTAACTCTGAAATCCTGTGCTTCTAATTTGGGGTGTTAAATTTTGGTGATATAACCAGAAAACTAGGACAAGATCACAGATGTAGTGGAATAATGGTGGAGTTGTCAGTGCAGTTTTGTACCAGGTTGTCTGACTTGCTCTCCGTTAGATAAGGACTTGTCCCTCCACACAGTCTCCTTGTCCTGCTGGCTTCTGCTGGTGCTGTGAATGGTGCCATAAACATCAGCAACAGGCTTCCCAGGAGAAGTGGCCACTCCTTTTCACACATACCCCCAAGAAATTAAGCATAAACTCCCTCAGTGCTTCCAGGGCTGCTTATGAGAGTTTTTTAAAAAAATCAGTTGTTACAAGGGTGGTTTTTCTGGAAGGGGCAATTCTTCATTCCTCCCTCACCCCCATTCCTGGAGGTCATGGGTGTGAGGTCCCTTTTGTTCTTCATGGAGAACCTGGGGAAGATGAGGCAGTGTTTCCCCATGTCTACCCATTTGTCAAAGTTTAAAAATATAACAGTATATTAAATTCATAATAACCAAGCTGTGATAAAGCTCCAGGTTGTCCTTGGTGGTAAAGCCCAGAGTCCTTTGAGTGTTATAAATGGCCAGCAGTCTCACAGCCACTCCAGTGGAGATGAGCGCTCCTGCTGGTGGCTGGCAGCCTGCTCACTGATGAGTGCCTTTGCTGTGATGGAGAGGAGAGCTTGTGCAGCTGGAGAAGGACAATGAGATGAGGCAGAGTCGCTGGGATGTGTCAGTTGTTGAATCTCTTCTCCTTCTCTTGAGCTTTGGAGCCCCTCAAGATGTGTGTATGATCTAAAAATTCTGTGCGGGCTGAGGCGTTGGTTCCTCTGCATTTGCGTGTCAGAGTCCCTGAGTAGGTATCTTTATGGACTCCATGGTGAGCCCCAGTCTCAGTGCCATAGAAACAAGAGAAGCCAACCTGACAAATTTCACCAAACTTCTTCAGCACTGGTCACATCACAGAATGAATAGGTGACCTTATTTATTCAGAATGGGGTACTTTGTTCAGGAAAGAGGTACCTGGTCTCCCCAGAACGGGAAAGCCCTCCGAGGGGATCAGGCCAAGTACAGAGGGAGAAATCCAAAGTTCCCAATTATTAAAAATAAATAATAATAATAAGTTATATTGAGAGTACCTTACTGAGTTGAAAGCAGTAATCTTTCATGGTGTCACAGCTGGCAGCATAAAAGCCAGGTGGTAGAGTACGGAGGCTGCTATTTTCATTGTCATGTGCGTTGCCCTGTGGTGCGTGTCCTATTTGTTAAGGAAGTCTCGTCCCTCTCCAGAGAACCAGGACCAGAAAACGTGACATCCGTCTTGCCCCTTCCTTTTTTTGTTTAAGCCATTTCATTGGTGGGCTTCTTCCACTTACATGTTACGTTGGGGATTAATGGGTGCTCAGCAAAATGGTCATCTTTCAGAGAGCACTGTTAGGCTGTAAGAAATAGATACAACCAAAATGTTTTTGAAAATTAATCAGGAGAGTGAGGACCCAAGGAAGGGTCAAAGAGCAGCTGGTGCTCTCCTTGGAACTTCATCACATGGCTTCTTGGGGTTCCATTAGGGTTCTCTCTCCATTAGGGTTTCACCTTTTTCTCTTGGCTTGTAAGGTATTAAATTGATGGTGTCCCAGGGGAAGAAGACTCCTCTGGCCAGTGAGTATGTAATCCAATTGTTCTATTTGGATTTGTGGCCAAATGTGAGGTTTCTTACCCTGATCTGGGATTGGCCCACTGTCTCCCTGTTTATTGGGTAGAGAGGAGAGGCCCCACGTGAGGACCTTCCTAGGCCCAGCACCATTCAGACGACCACCCTACTCTGTGCTGAGACTTGGCATGTCCAGGTCTTGCCCAGACCCAGGTCGCTTCAGGGCAGGGACCCTGAGTTCATGAACTAGTGCTCATTGCAGGGGTAGCTGGCAACAGTCTTATCCCACTTTCCTCTTTTCTTTTTAAAAGAAAAACCAAAAGGTGAAGAGGTGTGGTCCCGGGCTGAGTGCGCCTACTCTTGGTTGGTTAAAGACAGTACCAGGAGAGAGGCCCCAAGCCCCAGAAGCCCATTCTTCCTTTAAGGTGCCTCCCTGCACCCTGTGGTCATCAACAGAAGGAGAAGGTGGGTTGGTGCAGGGACGGCGCATCAGGCACAAGTGAGGAGGGCAGAGCCTCAAGAGGGTGGGGTAGTGCCGTCGTCACTGATCCACAGGCATCAATGAAGGGGGACTGGGCCCTGAGCACCTATCAGAACAGCAAGATCTAATACAGAGGAGAAGTTAGTATGGGAAAAACCAAAAATAGGATTTAGCTTATCCTTTTTTTAAAAATGTTAAAACATGGTATTTGATCAGCAGAGCAACGGTGCTTGCCGTCCTTATGTATTGTTACCAAATTAAACTCACGGTCCTGAGGTTTTTGTGAACAAGGGAAGAAGACCACCTGGCAAAAGTGGAAACAGATGGGCTCCCCACAGGCTGCCGAGCTGGGGGATGGACGTTGGAAACCTGGGGCACTGGCTCTTCCTGCCCTGCTTGGGGCTGCATGGCAGTCTATTCCTTCTGGCCCCGGGACCGAGCAGGAGGCGCTTCTAGGTTCCTTCGGTTGAGTCAGAAATGAGTGAAAGGATGATGAGATGCTGAAAGTAGTCCTCAGATACTAAGACATGAAGCTCTTTGCTTCAACAGAGCAGCCCGCCGGCTGTCCAGGGGCCGGGCTGGCCTGCGGGTGAGGACAGACTTGGAAGTCAGGCAGCCCTGGCCCTGGACCAGGTCCTCGTTGTGCCGTGTGGAGTGAGTGCAGGCTCTGCCGGGCCGGCCGTGGCTGCTTGCCCACGCGCCGACGTGGCTGTTTTGCTTCCTGCAAAATGAGGAGACGACGTAGCCCTTACATCTTGCAGTAGAAGAGATGTAAGAACATTTCTGAAGCTTCTTTGAGCTTTCCGGAAGGAAGGAAAAGTTTGGTGTTGAGCCATTTTAGGAGGCTCTGTGGCTTGATTCAGATCCTCATAAAATGTGGGTGTCCTGAACAAGGAGAGAAGGTTGCTGACTTGGGACCAGTCTCTGTGATGTGCTCAGCGTGTCGTCTGTTGTATCCTAGGCATTTGAGCTGGCAACGGGCGATTATTTGTTTGAACCGCATTCTGGGGAAGACTATTCCAGAGATGAAGGTGAGTATTGCTGCCTGCTGAATACCTCAGTCAGGGTCTCCTGAAAGTCGTGCACTTCTGGAGAGTATGGTGTTTTCATACCGAAATAAAGCTATGTTTTGGTTTTCAAACACCAAATTCAGACGCTTTTCCTTTGAGCTTGAAGCCCCCTTCAGTCGCAGTGAATGGGCAGAGCCCCTGGGACAGGTGGACCCGGAGAGCCCTTGGGCCTGAGCCCGCCTCTTGCTCCTCCTGCCTCCCGCAGGCCTGGTGCCCAGCCAGCCAGGAGAGGACAGACTGTACTGACTCCAAAGCCTGTCTCTGATCTTTTTGTCCACTGATCTGCTGCCCATTTCTCTGTCCCGTTTGGGCGCTGAGTTGAAACCCAGGAATTCTGGCTTGAATTCCACCTGTAAAGCTGACCATCTCCATGCTTATTTGCTTGCAATGCTGGGGTGGCCTGGGGTGGGCTGGCCTCAGTCACTGTTCATGCTCCAGATGGTGCCTGAGGCCTGCTAGCCCCAGAAGCCTCTGCATGGATGTGCTGCAGACATTGTTGATTTGGATCTATTTCTGATTTTTTACTAATTTCAATTTTTCCCCTCTTCTTTTATCCCCTCCTTCCCTTTGCCCCTCCCATTCCTGTGTCCTTTTTTTCTCTCCTCCATAGACCACATAGCCCACATCATAGAGCTGCTAGGCAGTATCCCAAGGCACTTTGCTCTATCTGGAAAATATTCTCGGGAATTCTTCAATCGCAGAGGTAGTACCTCTTCTTTTTGAAAAGCGCCACGATGCAGACAGAAATGGAATAGCAGCTGCTGATTGTAGCATTAATGGTTACAAAGGCATTGCTCCTAAATTCAGAAACACCCAGCAGAATTCCGATGCTGATTTAAAAGTTGAGAAGGAAGACCGCGTTTGGCCCTGTGCTGCGGTCGCCCTGTGCATCAGCTCCTCCTCAGTGCCTTCAGCAGCTGGGTGCCCTGAATCCGGCCGTCCGGGCAGAGCCTGTGCTTTCGGTCGTCCAGGTCGCGCTCTGTTTCTGTCTGCGCGGGCGGTGGCAGTGTCTGCATGCAGTGTACTGATTAAACTGTCGTGTGTTTCTGTTTTGCTGGCAATGTTTCCCAATGCAGATCACATAGCATTGATCATTGAACTGCTGGGGAAAGTCCCTCGAAAATACGCTATGTTGGGGAAATATTCCAAGGAGTTTTTCACCAGAAAAGGTAACGGTATTTCTGCAACACTAATTATCAGCATAATCTTCTCCCAAAAGGAGAAATTGTACATTCACGTTTGGGCACTGGAGAAAGATCTACACTTTTACAACTGGGGAATTCTGCTGAAGAAAGCGCTCAAGAAATAAACTTGAACCATCTGATATCTGTGGAATAAGAATTTTGTAACAGAACGACCTTCCTAAAGTCCTCTCCCACTCTAAGCACCAATCTGTGTATTCAAGGATTTATAAAAAGGAGTTTTTGATTTTTAGAAACCAGCTCGAGTTATCTATTTGCCTTTTATTCATAGTGCCAGAGTGTTTCTGCAGTGGAGCAGAGGAGGCCTAGCTGGACGTCCTCTTTGATCTGTCTGAGCTGTTCCTGCAGTGGGTGAAGGCCTGTGAAATCCCTGTGCCTCACTTGCTTGTAAATCACATCTGCTCTCCCATTGCGTTACCGTACATGGTATTGTAGGTTATTTGTTTAATACTGTGGTTCTTGTTGACCTTCCCTGGGCATGACCCTGAACACTGTTTCTTTGCCCTGTGTAGTAGTTAGTGATCAATTTTAAAAAACACCCCAGAACCCCAGGGAACTTACTTTGAAAGAACCCCTCCCCAATGCCATGTTCTTGTGTGTGAGCATAGTTGGTCCTCCTTATTCATGTTTTTCTAGTTTAGATTATTTTGGGGTTGCACCACTCTTTAATAAAGAACTTTTAAAGTTGGTGTGAGCAGGACATGGTGATTCTAGAAATTTCTGAAAGTCTCGTATACTGTCTCCCTTGCTTTAGCCATATGTGGAGAACCAATTTGACTTGTTATTTTCCTGTGAAATAAGGAATTCTTATAGAGTAATAATCCTTTATTATACACTTTGGTGATCTTCAGCTGACCAGTCCTTGTTTCCTCCTTGAAGTCACGTTTCCCTGTTCAATGCATGAGAGCCAAGAAGGGACCGTGCTGAAGATGGTTTCCTGCTCCGCTTACTCTGAGCACGCGGACCACAGCTCAGCTTTTCTGGGACCACCCAGTGGCCCACCTGTGAAATACATAACTAGATGCAGTTATGTTCTTACTACCTTCTGAAGTCTTATCATAGGGAAAAAAATTGTCAGGAAAACTCTTCTTCAGACAACGTGGATAAATTTTGGTTCTGAGAATCGAGTCTTCAAGTCTGGGTCCCGTGAGCAAGGAACCAAGTTCCCATCTCCACACAAAGACTCTCCCACAGGCCCCAGTAGCGTTATGGGCAGTGACATGGCTTTGCCATTGAACTGTGTTCAGTGACAGAGCTGGGATTTGAGCGTGCATAGGACTGGGCACATCGTGTCCTCTCTGAACCTCAGTCTCCACATCTGTCTATAGGGGCACTTCAGGGTGCATCGTTGTTATAAGAAGGTATGAGAGACAGCCTGTGCAGCATGTGGCACAGCTGCGGCTGAGACCATTCTTGCTAAAGCAGAGTTATAAACAGGAACTCTGTCAACACGATGAACTTCTAGACAGCAGTATTATTGAGAGAGTGGACTGAGTTTCCCTAGGAGACTTCCAGAAAATGTTATTTGAACATCCTTGAAACAAGGAAAAGATCTGGATTATTATAGCTTGGGATTCAGTGTGGCTTGGGGAATTGTGTTTATTTTAATCTATGCAGAAACCTTCTTCCACGTTTCGGAATGTTTTGGAGGCCTTGGCTGGTAGACGACTTGCAGTGAACACCTAGTCATAGCCTTCACCATTGTCAGACAGGGCTTAGTGGACAGGGTGGCCAACAGCTACCAGCCTGGTCTGCCGTGGAAATAGAGAACACCGTTGACCTGCCGATGCTCCAGAGGGGAAGTGGGGAGACCGGAGAGGGCGCTGGGCTGCAGCACCCGCTCCTCTAGCCAAGTAAAGAGTCTGCTCTCAGCCGATGAGCGGGTTCCGGCCCCAGGCTGTGGGAGCCTTATTTCCCACCACGGCCTAGGCCTGGTGAGGACCAACAGCCATTGATGGCACACAGGGATTTCCCTTTAATTGTGCTGCTGCTTACCTTTCCTCTGCAGCAAGGAGCTGTGTAGAATGACGAGGCTCTACATTTCTCCCTGTCCATTGTCTGTGGGTTGGGAACCACATACTATGCACAGCGGGGACAAAGAGGAAGGAGGAATAAAAGGAGGGGCCTTGCATGGTGAGAAAATGAAGTCAGGCGAGTTGTTTTAAGGCACCTCTCCAGGCAGCCTGCTGTTCAGTTTGCTCATGGAGGCAGCTGCTGCGAGGCTCTCTCAGGCCTGTTAGGCTTTGCCAATGGCCTGAGCTGCAGGCCACCGGGAACAGCACCTGCTGAATGCCGGCCCAGAACCAGCAGTGGGCCTGGAGCCCTCCCTCCCCCACCTGGAGGGACTCGTAGTGAACTGATGTTGGTGGTTGGTTCCAGCTCAGAGCTCCCTGTCCTGTGGCCCTTCATGCTGACAGACGGCTTTTGCATTGGGCTTCCCATCAGCACCCTTGCTCCTGGGGCAGCTCGTGGTCCGTGCCCTCCCCTGCCTGTGCCCATATGGGAGTGGAAAGTGCTGTACGGGGCCTTGCTGTTCCATCGGCACGTCATTATTGCCCACGTGCTTTGGGACTTGTGTGCGTGGTCATTCAGAGGAGCTTGTTTGAAGGTGACCTGCAGAGTTGAACGGCGTTTGGCGTCCTCAGTGGAGATGGACCAGAAACATCTGACTGTGTTACTGTGGTGACAAGTCCTTTTTCCCTTCCTTTGGATGTAAGGGAGAATTTATGACAAGGCAAGAAGTCCCCTAAAATGACTGGGAATTGGGACCACAGTTCTTTCCTGATTACTGTTTGTTTATAATAACTGTGAGATCAGAAGGGATTTAGGGTTTACTGAAGTCCCAGGAATAATAATATGATGAACGAGGGCCTGTCATGAAAATAGATTGCACATGTCCCGTAGGATGAGGAGAATGGTATGTTGCATGAGAGAGATGTTCTGGCTTGCCTCTCTAAGTAGTATGTGTGAATATACCTTTTGGAAATAATGGGGTCTTAAATGTATCCGTTTAATTTTCTTTCTAAAATACCTTTGTGCCAGAACTGCAAAGTGGAAACTACTACCAATTTGCCTCCGTCACATTGGAAAGTAGTCGGGATTGGGAGAGAGCCGACAGCAGGTTCTCCTGTTCTTCATCCTCCGGGGTGGGAAGCAGAGCTCACCCCAGCTGCAAAGCCAGGGAGGAATAGGGGGGTCTGTGTGCCAGGTTTACATATCACTTGCACCTAGGTGACATCTTCTTGCTTACATTTCAGGGTAAAATGATTGGTACTAGTTTCAATCATTTCTTGGCCAGGAATTTTAAAATTGAGCTGGATTTTTTTGGCAGGGCATGTAATTACTGTTCTCGCCTTATTAAGGTTTGATTTGTTGGTTATTCCTTTGAATGTGGACATTAACCACCAAAGATTATTAAGAAAAATCACCTTGGTCAGTGTGTCAGGATGTGGCCCAGTAGAAGTAAACACCTCTGTGGATTTTGTCCGTCTTGTCCTGCTATGATCTGAATGTTTTGTCCCCCCACAAAATTCATATGTTGAAATCCTAACCCCAAACGTGATGATATTAGGAGGTGGGGTCCTCATGAATGGGATTAGGGCTCTTATAAAAGAGGCCCCAGAGAGCTCCCTAGGCCCTTCCGCCATGTGAGGACCCAGTGAGCAGCGTGCGACCTGGAAGAGGGCCTCCGCTGACCACGCTGGTGCCCTGACCGCAGACTGCCAGCCTGAGAACTGGGAGAAACAAATTTGTTGTTTATAAGCTGCGCAGTGGGTGGTGTTTGTGACAGCAGCCGGAACGGACTGAGACACGTCCCCAGGAAGTGGGTGGTCCTCCAGAAGTGTCCCAGCTCTCAGGTGATGGTGGGAAAAACAGTGCAGCCTGGACCACACCTTACTGTGTTGCTGAAAAGACATTCTCTTGACCCATCAGTAGCCATCATTTTAGTAAAAATTGCAGTATTGAGAATGGAAGTATTACAGGAGACAGTTTACTTTTTTTAAAAAGCTGATTCTAGATGAGGGCATCAAGTATATTGGAATATATGTGAGTGATTTTGTGTGTCAGACTAAAGACCTTCTTAAATACAATTGAAAATTTCAAAGCATGCAAGAAACTTCTCTGTAGCCAAAGGACTATATTTGCAGCATAAAGTTCACATTTCCCCTGTGCTGGGGCAGCATCAGGCCACGACAACTCGGAGGATGGTGAGGAGACAGTGCAGGAGAGGCTGTGAGCTGAGGCGGAGGACGCAGGAACTGGGTGTTTAAACAAGATATATTTCGTATTCTTAATTTTTAATGTTTGAGATGAAACTTGTTAGAATGTTTTAACTCACCTTCAGAATTACTAAAAATCAACAGATTCTCTTATTTCTGTGAAGAGTAGAGCCTTTTTGTGGGTGTTTGACCCCTACAGGCTGGACACTGCCCCTACGTAATTTTCTTGGCTTCGAGTTGTAAAAACTTCTCCATCGTGGCGGCTTCACCCCTGCTTAGGCAGACACCAAGCGTGGGCATTAGAACAACTCGTGAACTTGTGGGATGTCCAGCCCTGGAAATGCTGGGGAGGAAGGACCCAGGCCTCTGTCCTGGAAGGTGCCGGATGCCAAGGTGGGCCAGGGAAGGCTCAGCGCAGGGCTGCTCTCCTCAGTGTGACCTTGATTCTATGGAAGTAACTGGAAAAGTTTCCTCATTCTAGTGGGTCTTATAACTTTTAAAACGTAAACTACTTTAACTACAGTTTCATCGTAAGCGGTATTTCTGAGTTATAAAGAGTCTGATGCTTCCTCTCCGCCATAAGCTCTTCTCTCAGAAGCAAGCTCTATGGGGGGGGGGGGGCTCGGTCTGTCTCCTTTACTGCTGGGTCCTGGGCCTGGATTAGGGAGTGCCTGGTGAAGGGGGGATCAGTAATATGGATTTATTAAATTTAGAAACATTAATTGGTGTCCAGTCTTTGTTTTGGGTGCAAGGCGTTGTGAGCTAGAAGCAGGGTGACACTATGTTCCACTTTGCCTGGGACAGTCCTCGTATGCCTGCTGTCCTGGCCTAATTACCAGTAACACCCTCGTCCACTCTCACTGAGGTCCCTGCGTGGAGGCTGCATGGTGAAGGCCCCCCCAGCTAGAGTTGTGGGGGGAGATGGGCTGTGAGAGGATGATGATGCGCCCTGGGGGCAGACTGGAGTGACCCGAAACACAGCAAAGACACTTGGGAAGATAAACCACAGACCACAGGTGGTTTGATCATGGGTTCGAATTACTGTTTTAATCATTTAATTTTGGATTTGAGCATAGGATGCAAAAAAAGCAATGAAATTATTGCTATAAGAGGTTCGAGTACATTCTATAATAGTTGATCCCATTTATTCCTATCATTTATTGTGAGCTACTAATTAGTGAAGTGTTTATTTTTCAACATGCATTAACACATTGGAATTCTTTTAAAGTTATTATTTTGTTGTATGCTTTGTACCAGTTTTTTTAATAACAGCTTTATTGAGATATAATCTACATACCATACAATTCACCCTTTTAAAGTGTACAATTCCATAGTTTTTAGGATAGTCACAGTTATGCAACCATCACCACTATCTAGTTTTAGAACATTTTCATTATCTCAAAAAGAAACCCTGTGACCATTAGCACTCACTCTCCATTCTCCCCACCCTCAGCCCCTGACAACCACTGGTCTAGTTTCTATCTCTATGGATTTGCCTATTCTGGATGTTTCATATAAATGGAATCATACAAGAGGTGGACCTTTGTGACGGCTGCTTTTATTTACTGTTATGTTTTCCAGGTCCATCCATGTGGTAGCATGAGTCAGTGCTCCCTTCCTTTTCTTCGTGGATATACCACATTTGGTTTCTCTATCCATCAGTTGATGGCCATTTGGGTGGTTTCCACTTTTTGGCTGTTATAAATAATGCTGCTATGAACATTAATGCACAAGTTTTTGTGTGGACGTAGGTTTTCATTTCTCTTGAATGCACGTGTGATAGTTGAAGTACAAAAGGTTTTAATTTTGATGAACTCTGGTTTTCTACTATTTTTGTTACTTGTGCTTTTGATGTCACATCTAAGAAACCAGTGCCTCCCTCCAAGTCATGAAGATTTATTCGGTTTTCTTCTAAGAATTTATAGTTTTAGCTCTTACACTTAGGTCTCTGATCCATTTTTAGTTAATTTTTTTTATGTGTGGGAGGTAGGGTTTATGCAGATTGTGAACTCAAATATTTACCTACATATGCTTTGTAGGAATTTGTTCAAATTTCTTGTGTTTTGTGTCTTGCTTTGCACCAGTGTTTATGGATAGGTTTCCTTTCTATGTGTATGCTATTGAAATTTATCCTAATCTATTTACTTGTCAGGGTTCTTCTTCTAGTGACAAGTATTCCCTGGAATACAGTACCAGGATTTGCCTTCATAGTCCCCCATGTGTGGGTAAAACCTCATATGCTTGTATGTTTAATTCTGCAATAATATAATTTCATGGACAAAATAATATATTTTCCTTCACAAATCACTTAAAATAATATTCAAGAGAAGTATAATGGAAGTACTTAACTTTTCCCTTAGAAAACCCTCTAGTAATCTGGGACTGGCAAATACAGTTGTAATCCCGGAGGAGGAACCTCCCCCAGGGCCTGTTTCCTGTCACTTGTCCCTGGTTCTGTCGAGGTGGTTCTATCTGCAGAGAGGATGAGGAAGCCCCCGGGCTGCTGAGGGCGGTGCTGATGCAGGGCTGTCCATCTGGCCCTGCTGGGCCCTTGTTTGCATGCACGTTGTGAGAGCTGATGCTGAGGAAAGTTTGTGATACTCAGAATTCTTTAAGAAGGAAAGGGTGGAAATGGTTTAAAAAGTAAAGATGGTCACAAGTAAGGGTCCAGTTATGTGCAAAATTTGTTTCAGCAAAACATATCTTGGTATATTTTAAGAGAAAAAATAGTCAAGGTAAAAATTCTTTAACTTGTTAGGGAGCTATTTTTATAATAGGAACAAATAGTAAAAAAAATTGTTTTTAAAATGTTTTATCTTACTATTTTATTTCTATTTTTTCATAAGTGGAGGTGGCTGTATTTCCTGTGTGATATACGCAGGGCTGGCGCTGGAGAGTGGACTCGAGGCCCTCACGCCGCGGAGGAGCCTGCTCTGGGAATCTCTGCTGGCGGTAGATGCGCAGGGTGGGAGCTTGGGCTTTGTTTTGAAGTAATCTTTATAAGACAGCACTTCTTATCACTGAATCAAATATAAGAGCTTCTACCTATAATCATAGGGCCTGGGCGAGTTTATTTCCTGTTTTTCTTGGCATTATAAAGTTTTTCTACCTGTCTAGATAATCCACATATTTGTTCTTTTTAGAGGCAATTCAGTATTCTGTTATAATGTATTCGGTACCTATTGGTGCTTAGGATTATTTTGCATATTGCATATTTTCCTAATATAGAGAGCATCTTTGCACATACAGTTTTTGTGTGGGATTACCTGGTCAAAGTTTGTTAGATATTTTAGGCTGTTCTTGAGAAAGGTTTTTATCGGTTTATAGCGCTGCTAGTTAGTATGAATAAATAGTTTTTCACAGCCTTCCAGCACTGTATTGTTTTCATCACTGTTGTTATGTAGATTTTAAGGCATCTATCATGATAAAGCTTTTCTCTTTTTCTTTTGGAAGATTCTAGTTAATTTGATGCCTATTGATAGATTTTAGTTAGTTTAAAAACTGGCCCCCTCAGAAATGGATTCCTTTGTGTTCCAAGCAGACAGCTTCCCAGCAGTGGCATTCATTCACAGACCTGGAGAGCATTTATTCCACGTCAGAACGGGAATGTCAGGAAAGCTCTCTCCCCTCCCAAAGCTCTCTCCCGCGTGTTTTAGTCTGTTACTTGGGTGCTTTCTTAGTTTGCTTTAACCTTGCTCTGGTGAAATCTAGAGTCACTATATAAAATCAATAGAGCTACATTCTAGAAAATGCAGAGAGAGAGAAATGACCTTATAACAAAACTGGTGCTTGGGGGCATCTGCTTTCCATCTTTATGGGCACTTTGAAAATCACTCTTGTGATCATCTGTAGAACATAGTCTTGACTTCTTTTCTTTCATTACCAACAACTGTACCATATAATTTTCCCCCTTGTTATTAAGTAATATTAAATAATATTCATCAAGTGGATGTACCATGGTTGTTTGTTTTTTAAACTACCATTCTGTTACTGAGCATTTGTAATTTTGCAGTATATATAATTTTGCAGTGAACATATTTTGGTGGTAGGGGGTGGGTGCCAGGGCTTATTTCCTTAGGCTGGATCCTAAGAACTGAAATTTCCAGGTTAAAGGGGATGAACATTCAGTGATTGCCCAGACTTTGTTCTCATGAAACCGTTCCTTCCACAGGAGGTTACACTTTCTCCTCTAAGATGGCAGGTCCACTTCCCTCATTAAATAGACCTGAGCTGCAGTCTGGAGGCCAGTGAAAGAGTACAGGCCAAAACAAAAAGTCATTCTGGGGTGGGGTTACGGGTCATTTCTCCATTTGTTTTTGTAGTTTTCTGTAATGTCATTTCTCCTTTGGTTTTTGTAGTTTTCTGTAATGTTCCCTTATTTTCTTTATGATTAAAGAAAGAGCAAGGGTGTTTCTAAATTGAGTTGAATAAATGGGTGAAACAGACCAGGCCTCCTGGGAAGATCTTTGTAAGAATAGAACTGAATCTCTATTAATGCATATCATGAAAAACTTCACTTTGTTGGTTAAATTATAGCAGGTGAAAGAGGAGAGAAATTGGCTCTTGCATTAGGTGTGCCAGTCAGGTGTCTGGAGGCCTCAGCTCTGTGCCAGTTGCAGGACTGTGGCTCGCTCTGGGCCTGGGAGGGTGTGGGGACGGGGCGCGGGGCAGTGCTGCCCTTGTCTGTGGGAGCTGCTGGGGCAGACACTGAGGGGCACCCCAGGAAGCCTCTGTGTGGGCAGGGGTGGGGTGTCCTGTGAAAATTTCTAACAGGCAGAGAAAATGAGTTATTCATAATTAAAGTTATCCTGACCTTTTGGCAGTTTGACTTAAAAATAACTTTTTTTCCTATTATGAAAAAGGCTATTACAGTTCACAAAGCATTTACTAGCTTCTTAGTCATTCTGTTACATCAGTCACTCACGCTTTTTATACTGTAGCTAGTACATTTTGAAAAGTATAACTTCAAGGTTTATAAATTGATGTCCTGGTATCTTAGATTTTACAACAAATGTGTGGAAAAGAGTGGTATTGGATTCAGATAGGACTTCAGAGCTGTGCCGTCCAGTATAGTAGCCACTAGCTACTTGTGGCTATTTAAATTTAAACAAAATAAAATGAAAACTTCAGTTCCTTAGTCACACTAACCACACTTGAAGTGCTCAGTAGCCACATATACCTAGCAGCTACCATACTGGACAGTACGGATAAAGTACATCTCTGCCATCACAGAAAGTTCTCTTGAAATGCACTGTTCTAGAGGAAAAGACTGCCTTGTCTTTGCATGGTAACATGCAGAAAGAATGGTCCAAGGAGTTTAAATAGTGTGTATCTTAAAACTTTTTCTAAGCAAGTTGGTAGACTGCAGAAGATCCCAGGTTGGAGTGCGAGTGCCTCCCTCACTCAGTCTTTGCAAATGAAAACCATCTGGGCGTACTCAGCCCACTGGACTTATTTAAAGAAGCCTAGAACTGATGCGCGTGAACTCTTCCCTTTTCGATTACCCCCTATTTACCTTTGCCAAGCTTCCTTGAAATGTGACACAGTCGTGTATACACTGAGTGATTATTGCTTGGGGGAAAGCCCGGCATTCTTTGTTGTTGTTTGTTGTCTGCGTATTGTTGAGCAGGTAGGTAGTCATCAGCTTTATTGAAAAGAACCTGGCGGGGCCAGCAATGGGAAATGCAACTTTGGGGCTTTCTTGACACTGCCTGTTCTTCCCTGTAGGAGAGCTGCGGCATATCACCAAGCTGAAGCCCTGGAGTCTCTTTGATGTGCTTGTGGAAAAGTATGGTTGGCCCCATGAAGATGCTGCACAGTTTACAGATTTCCTGATCCCGATGTTAGAAATGGTTCCAGAAAAACGAGCCTCAGCTGGCGAATGCCTTCGGCACCCTTGGTTGAATTCTTAGCAGATTCTACAAATATAGCAATCTGAGCTAGCAAATGTTTTCCAGTACATTGGACCTAAACGGTGACTCTCATTCTTTAACAGGATTACAAGTGAGCTGGCTTCATCCTCAGACCTTTATTTTGCTTTGAGGTACTGTTGTTTGACATTTTGCTTTTTGTGCACTGTGATCCTGGGGAAGGGTAGTCTTCTGTCTTCAGCTTAGTAGTTTACTGACCCACTTTCTTCTGGAAACAATAACATGTCTCTAAGCATTGTTTCTTGTGTTGTGTGACATTCAAATGTCAATTTTTTTGAACAAAAAATACTTCCCCCCTTGTGTTTTGGCAGGTTTTGTAACTATTTATGAAGAAATATTTTAGCTGAGTACTATATAATTAACAATCTTAAGAAATTGTCAAGTTGGAACCAAGTAGCAAGGAAATGTACAATTTTATCTTCTGGCAAAGGGACATCATTCCTGTATTATAGTGTATGTAAATGCACCCTGTAAATGTTAATTTCCATTAAATATGGGATGGGGACTCAAATTTCAGAAAAGCTACCAAGTCTTGAGTGCTTTGTAGCCTAAGTTGCATGTAGTGGACTTTACTGCTCCAAGGAGTTGTGCAAACTTTTCATTCCATAACAGTCCTTTTACATTGGATTTTAAACAAAGTGGCTCTGGATTATGTCATTCCCTATATGGCACTTTAGAGAAAGAAAAGACATGCTTCTCATTCTAAAATACGTGTGGTAGTTTAGCATTCCCATTCGTATTTTTGCATATTTTTAAAAGTACTTTTAAGGAAAAAGAGCAATTTCCCTTGAAAAATGTGATGGCCTCCTTCAAGCACTGTAAGTTCAACTCTACGCAGATTAAATTGGACAAGAGAAACATGTTCAGTGTGTGGAATGAAAAAATATATATATATTTTTGGAAAAGCTTGCTTGTGTTTGTCTAAAGCCAAAGTGTGGTATATACAGTTTGCAGTGCAGCGGGCAGAATACCAACATCTCAGTGGTAACGGTGATCGCGCTCAGTCCATAGGCAGTTTTATACGTGGCTACAACAAATTCTACTAGCTTTTTCGTTGTCTTTCCATGCATTGAATTTGAGAAAATGATTTTCCCTTTGCAGGTTGCACACAATTTTGTTTATGCATTTCCTTAAAATTGTAGAATTCAGGACACAAACGATAGTAGGCAATACAATTTTAGAATGTAATATATAGAGGTATAAATGCCTCTTTTAGAAGTCAGTGGATTGAATGTCAGTTTTTTTTTTAAATTTTACATTCATTAAGGTGCCTCGTTTTTCTTGACTTTGTCCATTAACATTTATCCATATGCCTTTGCAATAACTAGATTGTGAAAAGATAACAAGTGTTGTAATAATAATCCATTGTTTGAGGTGCTTGCAGTTGTCTTAAAAATTAAAGTGTTTTGGTTTTTTTTTCCAGACATTGCCTCGGTCATTGGCCTATATTTGAAGCGATAGAATCAACAAACGTTTGCTATCCTTTTAGTATAGTGTAACCAAAAGTAAAGGAAATATCAACATTCCTGTTGCAGGAAATGTAGCTGTATAACATGCATTAAGGCTTATTACAAGGAAATCCTTCATTGTTTTGTAAGCGTAGAATATGGATTTAGAAAAGATGCTGTGGCGTGGATCTGTTACCTAAAATTTCAGTGATCCTTTTTCATTCGTGTTTCATCAAAAACATACTAATTATATTTTGTTTGAGCATTGCAGATTTCGTTTTTTAACAGTATTCACTGTGGGGGAACAAGACACATAATCCTCTTAGGAGTTAGCATTATATCACATATTGCTGTGAGGTGGAGCATACCAGTCATTTATGAAATGTGGGTGCTGTTTTTGTAATGAGGCTGTAGGTTACCATGTAGGTTCCGTGACAGATGGTGGCTGTAGACCAGTGATGCTATCCATGATTTCCATAGGAAGCATTCTTACAAGAACCACACAGTACATTTATATCTTCCCTAAGTCTATAAGAATTTTAATCAGGGTTATATCACACTTGAATGAAATTTGTCTAATGCAGTTTTGGCTCATGTTAGAAAATAAACTAGATAATTATGAATTTTGTAAGGATCTGTCCCTTATGATAAAATAGCCTAACTAGTTTACAATGTAAAAAGTTTTTCTAGAAGGGTTATATATTTATATTAGGTACAGTATGGTTTTTAGCAGATTCTTGGTGGCTTGATGATAAAGAATGCATATAAACTCAATGAGAACCACTGGTTATGCAAAACACTATAGGCAGCTCAGTGGTTTTAGTTGAATGTCCTGTCTTTTCTTTTCTCTATTGCATGTCAAGTCTTTATGGAAAATGACCAACAGTGGATTACATATGTGATTATATAGCAGATTCAGAAGCTGGCTGTCTAGAAATTACAACTGTGCAAAGGCAGTGAAAAAGTAGATTTAGGAGTTTCAAAAACAAACTTTTTAGGTGAAAACTGATTTACTAACTTGCTTCTTCCTGTACCTGGATCATACATAACTAGTTAACAGTAAACTGCTGTTTCTACTCAGGTAGAGAACTTCAGTTTGTATCTACAGTTCAAATTATTTCTTAAATTCCACTTTTTTCTCCCATTAATTTTTTGTAACTTTAATGACATTTTGGTAGAGGACAGTATTTGAGACTGTATGTGTCCTTCATCAAGGAGTCAAAGAATTATATAAGATTTGGAAGTTTACAGAAAAGCTTCTGTATATACATTATTTGTGAAGTAGGCAAATTTAAAACTATGAGGAATTAAAAATCCTTAGAAGGACAGTCCTTTTAAAGAGTGAATATTGATATTTCACTATCTAGTTAACTTTCTTCTGTGTTTGAAACTGTCAGAGGATGGATGATTGGATGGATAAAGCCATTTCTTCTTGGACAAGTCTTTGCTTAGTGAATACCCTAAGTGGAATTTTGTTTGATTAAAGTCAAGGATGGCAAAGTTGATCTAAGTTCTTTTAAAACTTGAAGCTAGTTAGGATTGAGCCCTAAATATAGTTGTGTTACTGTACCCTCATTAACCACAATTACCTAATTTTCAAAAGGAAATTAAAAGAAGTGTAAAACATGACTTAGATTACTGCCAAATCATTCATTGTTAGTCTGTTTACTTCTTTCTCCAATGCACAGAATCTGTATACTGTGCCAAATTAGGTGAAGTAATCGGATGGTGAAAAATGTGTTGACAAATATTGTCATTACTATTGGTTATACTAATTAATCCTCCTGAGAGGTAGAAGACCTTAAAGAATAAGAAAATTTATTTTTTCAAAATAATAACTAACTAGTATTTTGTAATTCAGTAATAAACTGTTTACTTAAGAGGCCATCTTCATTTCATTTGAGAGATCTAAGAATGATGCCTTTTAGTTTTGTATACCAAAACAAATTTTAAAAATTTCCTACTTTTTCTAATACTATAGCTAGATAGTAAATGTTAAGGTTTTCAAATAATTTTGATTAATCAATAAGACAGTTCAGTCATGTTCTAAAATGTAAAAATTAGATAGTCGTATGTTTTTAGGCAGACTACTCCATATTTTCAAACAGCTGTAAATTACAATCTGTAACTATCATTTGTAATGCTTTAATGGTGTGGGTTCATTGGTATGCTGTCAGATATAAGTAGATACACATAGCATTACATGGCACAGTAGTTTCCTATGGCTCTTGCTCCTGCGAAAATGACAAGTAGCAACATTACAGGAACAACAACTTATTGCCTCCTGATGCTTGCTACGGTCCAACTGAGGTAGTAGTCGCTAAAGAAGATGGAAGGTTCCTTACAAACTATATCTGAAAAATATAACTTTTGTAAAAACACTTACTTAGACACCAATCTCAGAAGTTTGTACAGAACAATTTGGTAAAACTGACATAATTGTGATTTATTAACATGAATTAAAATGCCCAACCAGTGCTTCAATGTGACAGTATATTTAAAATAAAAAAGAAATTAAAGGCCATATACTGTACTACTTTCACAAAGATCACACAGTTTTGCAGTGACTTGTCATATGTACAATGCTATAATATCAAATGAGAAAAGCTGTAAGCAATTATATACGCAAAAGAACTGCAGTATTTACAGTTTGTCAGGAGACATTAAAAATCATCTATACATTAAATTACATTTTTCTTGCAAATAACCGATAAAACAAAATGAGCCATGTCCACACCAAACTATAAAAATCTGTATTGCATTTTTTTATACCTAAGATGCACTCACAGAACTGCTGACAGAAAAAAAAATGAGAATCCTCATAGTGCCATTACTTCGCTGTGTACTTAATGCATATGTAGAAAATAATATAGAAACATTCACTAAATGAATTTAACTGCAACAATAAAATGTAAAGGTCATGTAGCATCAAATCTACTGCCAGAAGAACAGCTGGAATGTTCACTTACAAAATAAAGATACCTAATACTGGCTTAACAGCACATTTTTTTAAGGAATTTTAAAAAGCAAAAATGCGAAAAATACAATGAAAGAGCACTGGTTTTTTTTTTTTTATACAAAGTTTCATGTACAAGCTTTAAAAAGTACCTTAACAGGTACATATGAAATATACAGTTTATCTTACAGAACATTTTAAAAAATGTTTTTGGAGTCCATTTTAATGCCACCCTGAACCATGGTAATTGTTCTGAAATGTTGGTGGCACCTGTGCTCTGTGAATTGGAATCTGTCCAGGCACTGGAGATGCCTGCTGAGGTCCTTGGACCCCGTGTGGCAGGGCCACAGAGCCAGGATGAGGACAGAACCCTGAAGCAGTAGGTGTTGGAATATTGTTTGGTCCTTGGGGCTGGAGATGAGGACCTGCGACTGGTAATGGACAATGTGGCCCTGTTCCAGAAGGCTGGTGTTGGGGTCCCGGTCCCAAAGTGGTGTGATGTGTAGCTTGTGAGGGATATGGTGGTACAGCTGGATGAGCACTTGAAGGAAAAAGTGGAGGTCCTTGATGAGGTGGGTGGTGTAAGGCTTGAGCTGATGTGGTATGATGCCCAGAAGCCAAAACACTGGAAGGAGGAGGAGGAGGTGGTGGTGGGGGTGCTGGATTTACAACATGCTGGTGTTGTGCTTGTAGACCTTGGAGTCCTGTGGAAGGATGGGGCGGTGGATGGTGGTGAGGGGCAGGGCCAGGAGGTGGAGGGGGTGGTGGCAAATGGTGTCCAGCAGTTTGAGAATGAATATGCGACCCAGGGGTGACAGCATGAACAGGCCCTACTACGTGTGCTACAGAGTGTTGCTGATGGGAACTGGGCTGTTGGACAAGGTGTGGTCCTGGAGCAGGTGGTGGTGGAGGAGGGGGTGGGACTACAGCAGCAGCAGTTTGATGGTGAATAGTGGGGTTCTGAGAAGGCAAAAAATGCCCTGGAGTAACATGGTGTCCTGGAACTGTTTGCTGGCTTGTGGTGCCAGGAAGTGCTTGATTTGGTCCTGATGTAAACACAGTTTGTTGGGAAAGACTACCTTTAAGCTGATTATAATTCTGAAAGTTTGTGGAGGGCTGCTGGTTTTGATAATAAGATGATGAAGAAGGAGGCGGAGGGGGTGGCGGGGGTGGTGCCGTGCTGTTCAGACTTTGTTGGTTAAATTGACTGTATGTTGCTGAAGATTGTCCTGAGGGTGTCTGTGTAAATAATGCTCCAGAAGTTGCCTGCTGAG